GTGGAGTAAGAGTGGTGAAACTTCAGTGACTGTGCCTGAAGATGAGAGTTTTGGGAAACGGTATCCGAAGCAGGAGACGGTGAGGTATCAGCGTTCGTCTGATACTTCGAAAGGATTTGAGAGAGGTTCCAAAGGAGATGGATTGGATCTCGTCGCTGAAGAAAAGCGAATTCAGAGAATAGCCAACGAGATGGGTGCTTTAAGAAGTGACAAGTTGACTATAACTAAGAGAATAGGTTCTAAGAGAGATGAGGATGATGATAGCTTGTTTGACATGGAAAGTCCTGCCTTTCGGTTTTCCGATGAGTCCAGTGATATAGTGGACAAGCCAGCTACTTCACGAGCCGAAATGGAAGACAGAATCGAGAAGTTGGCAAAAGCGTATGTGTTTTTAAGTTATTATCTAGATTTGGTTCAGCTTTCTAGAATATACTAGAAGAAAGAGAGTAGGATGTAAATATTGAATTTTGATTTAGTAATGTGCTACTGTAGGTGAAATTAAGGGTGAGATTAGTACATTTCTCACGAGATTATTATCAAGTTCAGCCGAATTTTATGTTAAGGAAGTTTATTTCGCTAGGTTGAATGGTGCAGACATCAATATGCCTGAGTGGCTGTTTTCCAAGGCGATTCGGAGTGCAAGAATCAGATATAACGATTACACTATAATGAGACTGATCCAGTTTCTAGGAAAACTAGGAAACTGGAGACGAGTTATTCAAGTGATCGAGTGGCTTCAAAGGCAAGACCGTTACAAATCAAACAAGCTAAGGTAACTATTTTACTGACTAATTTAAAAGTGATCTTTGGCAACCTCATTGAATTCAGTTGTAGAACTCTATAATTTTTTCAAGTCCTGAGGAAAAGATCGTAATGCTGACAAATTTATTCATTTTGGACCTAGAATTATCTATACAACTGCACTCAATGTGCTTGGTAAGTCGAGGAGGCCTGTGGAAGCTCTCAATGTATTCCATGCAATGCTGGTAAACCCCTTATGCCATAGCTGTGTGTTCTTGTTGCTTCTGGTATAATTTGAGTTCTTTTTTTTTGTTTGTTTTCTTTGTCAGTTACAAATTTCGTCATATCCGGATATGGTAGCATACCGTTCAATTGCAGTCACACTTGGACAAGCTGGGCATATCAAGGAACTCTTTCATGTGATTGACACAATGCGATCTCCACCTAAAAAGAATTTCAAGCCAACGACACTTATAAAATGGGATCCACGGCTTGAACCTGACGTTGTTGTTTACAATGCGGTCAGTAATTTATAATTCTCTCACTCTTATGAAGATACATATCTATAGCCTACATTTATCCCTGGAAACATACCTTGACTCGTCTAATGTAGATGCTGGACATCACAGGTGCTCAATGCATGTGTTCAACGGAAGCAGTGGGAAGGAGCATTCTGGGTATTGCAACAGTTGAAGCAAAGAGGGCAAAAACCTTCTCCTGTCACCTATGGCCTTGTCATGGAGGTTAAATATCTCTTCTTCTCATAACAATTAATGTTGCATATCAACGCGATTGAGTGGTGGATTTGTATTTGTGTCTAAGCAGGTAATGCTTGCATGTGAGAAATACAATTTAGTTCATGAATTCTTCAGGAAGATGCAGAAATCTTCTATCCCTAATGCTCTAGCATATAGAGGTGTTTTGTGAACTCTTTGTCCTTTTCCTTTAGATTATTAGTGTTTGACTACCCCCACTGACGAGTAACCATCTCTGCCTGTGATCAGTTCTTGTTAATACTCTGTGGAAAGAAGGTAAAACCGATGAGGCCATACAGACAGTTGACGATATGGAAAGCCGTGGTATTGTCGGATCAGCTGCTCTTTACTACGACCTTGCTCGCTGTCTTTGTAGCGCAGGAAGGTGTAATGAAGGGCTTAATATGGTAATTCTTTTTGTAAATCCATTAGTCCTTAATACTTAATCGAGAATCTGATCTAAGATGCTGATCTTGATCATTCCATCTAATGTCAGATTAAGAAGATATGTAGAGTTGCAAATAAGCCTCTCGTGGTGACTTACACTGGCCTGATCCAAGCATGCCTCGACTCAGGAAACATCAAGGACGCAACTTACATTTTCGATCAAATGAAGGAGGTCTGCAACCCGAATCTAGTTACTTGCAACATAATGCTAAAAGCTTATCTACAAGGCGGGTTGTTTGAAGAAGCCAGAGAACTTTTCCATAAAATGTCAGAAGACGGAGATCATATAAAAAGCAGCTCGGATTTCGAATCAAGAGTATTGCCAGACACGTACACGTTCAACACGATGCTAGACTCATGTGCTGAACAAAAAAAGTGGGGTGATTTCGGTTATGCGTATCGGGAGATGTTGCGTCATGGATACCATTTCAATCCGAAACGTCATCTCAAAATGGTACTTGAAGCTAGCAGAACAGGAAAGGTAAACAAAAAACAAAAAAAAAGTTAAGAGAAATTGAAACATCTGCTTGGAAATCTTGTGTTATCATCTTGTCTGAAAAATCTCTCGTGTGTGTTTGTGATCAGGAAGAAGTGATGGAAGCGACATGGGAACACCTGAGACGGAGTAATAGAATTCCGCCATCGCCTCTAATCAAAGAAAGATTCTGCAGGAAACTCGAGAAAGGCGATCATGTTTCAGCGATATCGTCTGTTGCTGATCTCGATGGCAACATAGAGGAGACCGAGTTACGGGCATTTTCAACTTCCGCGTGGTCCAAGGTCTTGTACCGGTTTGAGAAAGATTCAGTTTTGAGGTTAATGGACGATGTGAACAGACGTGTGGGTTCGAGAAATGAGTCTTCGGATTCGGTTTTGGGGAATTTATTGAGTTCTTGTAAAGAGTTTATGAAGAACAGAACATAAATGTTGTAAGTTATCTATTCTTTTATATATGAAACGCAAAATCTTAGTGGCGACCAGAATGAATTTAAAGGTGGTTGATTACAAGAATACCCTCTTAAAAAAAATACATATTATGCCATCGTCGGTTATAATTTACTACGGTTTCAGTTATCGATTATGTTCATTCGGTTTATATTATATTCTATTGGGCTTCTACTTCTTTTAAAAAACCATTCATAAGTCCAATACATTTCAGTTAATTTTTCTCATTATTAACTTAATAGGTCCGCTTTAAGAAAACCCTAGGTTATCTCTATATTTTCTTATAAATATCATGCGTATTTGAGGTTTCGTTTTCTAAACAAGGTTTGTGTTTTTTTTTTTTTTTGCTAAAAACAAGGTTTGTGTTAAAACCCTAGATATTATGTGTTATTTTATACGTTATTGCCTTTTAATCTAATTATCTTTTTGAGCAGTTTATATTATCGTTGTTGATGTTGGTAACATCGTGTGTATTTTATGTGTTGTTACGAGTTTTTGATTTGCTAATCTCGCTACTTTTGGTTTTGTTAGGTTATATCGGCGTCGTGGAGTTTAATTTAAAACTTTAGGTATTTCGTGTTATAATTTTTTTATTATTTATATATCTCATAAATTTTGTTTAGCTAGGTTTTATCATCCCATCATGGTTGGGATGTGTTGGTTATTGC